GCAGCGGAGCGTGGAGTGCAGCGGAGCGGCGGCGTCGACTCGATGTAGACGGAGCAGCGAAGTGCGCGGCGATGGCTGCGAACCGCTACGCGCGTTCCCGAACAACGCCGTTTAACGCGTTTGAGCGGCGTTAAACGCAATTCAACGCGCGGGCCCGCGGTGCGTTTGTCGTGGTTCGGCGGGCTCCGCACGGGTTCGCGCTAGCGGGGGAGTCTGTGGGGGGGGGGGGGGGGGGGGGGGGGGGGGGGGGGGGGGGGGGGGGGGGGGGGGGGGGGGGGGGGGGGGGGGGGGGGGGGGGGGGGGGGGTGGGGGAAGGGGGACCCTGCGGCAGGTAGTGGTTAACGGGTGTTGGGTTGCAGCGGTGCGGTCGGGGGGAGTCAGCGAGGGTTGTCTCGCCAGGGTGATCGACATGGGGAGGTCACAGCGCCGTCAGCATGAGGCTGCCGCGGACCATGTGCAGGACACATTCAGGGCCCGCTCCCCTGTCTATCGGTACCTGGTTGTCGGCCAGAAGGTCGACAACAAGGGGGTCATGATGCTCCGTTGCACGTTTTGCAACAAAGTTTTCCAAGGGACCCAGTTTCAGGCCACGAGGCACTTCTTGCAGACAAACTACTGCAAGGACGTCAGCGACGAGGCGTTGTACGATATTGCCCGACGGACTCAGCAGAAGTTTGAGGCCGATCAGATGGAGAGGGTGTCGAGGTATGCAGCGGAGCTCGGACTCGATGTGCCCGGCACGGGTGGTGCAAGGGGAGGAAAGGCGGGGCGGCGTCCGGCGGAGGGAGGGGTCGGGGGAGATGGTGGGCATGGTGCGGCAGACCCCACTTTGGGTGCTGGAGGCGGTGAGACAGAGGAGGGCGTGATCCACGTGGATTGCGAGGCGCATGGCCCGGGTGACAAGGGAGTCCCGGAACGGGAGGACGTGCCTGAGGTTTATCCAGGCACTGGGGAGAGGTTGGAGGACTGGCGGAGGCGAGAAGGCAAGGGAGCTGCAACGGAGGGGTCTTCCAAGAGGAAGGAAGGAGGGAGTGATCCGGCTGCCACCCCAGCAGGGAAGAGGCTTCGGCAGCAGAAGGTGACTGATGTCTACGGTGGCGAGTGGGTTGCCCGCCACAAGAAGGCATTCCTTCACTGGTTGTATTCCAGCGGGGTCTCCTTCAATGCCTTCCACAACCAGGCGTGGAAGGCATATCAGCAGGTGCTTCTTGAGCAGCCTGGCAGTTCCCCGCACGCAGTGCTCCCCAACCACTGCGAGATTGCGAGTATGTGGGCGGTGGAGACCCACCGTGCGGAGTTGGCGGAGGAGTTGGAGGAGGTGAGGCAGCCATTCTAGGTGACTGGTGCCACCCTCCTCTCCGATAGGAGGAAATCACGAGACGGGAGACCAATCGTGAATTTCCTTGCTGCTGGCTCTCGAGGGGTCGTCGTGTACACGACGATCAATCGAGAGGGCGAGCCGGACGATGCAGTGCACGTCCTTCATAGATGGGTTACCATCTTCCACGAGTTCAGCTTTGGCGGGCCGCAGCGGATCAATGTGATATGCACTGACTCCGCTTCTGCCTATGTGGGGGCTGCGAGGGCATTGACCTCGCCGTCCATGCCTCCTGCACTGAGGAGGATCACTTGGCTCCCGTGCTCCGTCCATGTCTGCAACAAATTGTTGTCAGACATGGGGACGAGTTGCGACGTGTTTGTGGATGCGATCACACACGCTCGTGTGCTGGTGGTGTTTTTCAAAACCCACCAGGCCGCCCTTCATTTTTTTAGGACGTGCAGCCCCGAGAAGGGGCTTATTCTTTCTTGCGAGACGCGGTTCGCGTTTGTTTACTCCATGATGGAAAGGCTGTTGGCTCTGCAGGACACTTTGCAGGACATGATGCGAGGGGACGACGCGCGGGCTTTTGCTTCCATCCCGTGGTCCGCCGATGTGTGCATCATGGCGCGGTGGGTGCGCCGACAGATCAGATAGGATCCATGGTGGCAGAGGGTGGCCACCATAGTCCATATCATGCAGCCCGTCATGGAGTTGCTCGGGAGGATGGATCGTGGAGGACAGTACATGTCCCTCATGATCGAGTGGACGCAGGATCTTGTCCGCCGTGTCACGGTCGCATGCGCCCCTTTGGGGACGTCGTTCGCCGACTGGATCATCAGGCATGTGCAGGCTCGCATACAGCACATGCTTGAGCCGGCTCACTGCGCAGGGTTCTTACTGAACCCCCGCAGGCGACACGTTCGCCACTTTTTGGGGCAGGTGGAGAGGTACGATGCTTGGCTTGTGGGGCAAGAGGTACATTTTGACGCAGACGGGATTCGAGCTGGAGGGTGTGGAGTACATCCTTGCATGTCGGCAGGTTCGGGGATTGGGGCGGTCCGGAGGGGCGTGCTCGTGGGCGCGCGTAAAGCGGCGACAGCGAGACGATTGGGTGCGCGTCTTGGTGGTCTCAGTTCGGGTCGGGCGCGCCACAGTTGCAGCGTTGCGCTCTTCGGGTGATGCACATGTGGTCTTGCGCCTCTCCAGCAGAGAGGAACTGGGCAGTCCACGAGGGCATTCACACGAAGAAGCGCAACCAGTTGGCCTTCGAGAAGGTCGTGCAACTCGTTGAGATCACCGCAAATGTGCGGTTGACTGAGTATCGGCG